ATTGAGTCACCTCAGAACTTGTTCCAAACCGTGTGTCACGTACGTGGACTGCAGTGTCCCGCGTTTCGGAGTGCACAAACAGAATCTACGAATATATCTACGGCGATGGATAAATTGGCCTCTTCAACCGAATGTTGGACAGAAGCGATGACAGAGGATCTGTCTGAGGAAACTTTTCGTCCAGGTACGATTTAAATTGAACATTTGAAGTAAGTTCAATCTATCACTTACAGTGTTTCCTGTCTCAAAGTGGTCATTAGAAGGTGTGCTCAATTCAGATGATTGGAAGGAATCGAATTGATGAAACCCCCTTCATTTTTCATCTACAATTAGGTCGAATATTGTCTGGGCTACCATGACAACAACGGTAGCATTGTTATCTGTACACTGTGAATGTCAACGCTAGTACTAACTGAATATCTGGAGTTTAAATCAGTGACAACACCATAAAAACCATCGCTAACTCGAGCATAGAGTCAGTGGCAGTTATTCCGTTCATGGCTTTTCAAGCTATATTTTGTCGGTTTTCCTTCAACAGACAAAGTCGCCCGACACGAAGCGCAATTTTAGTCAATCCCCTGACCTTTGAGCAGTCCACGTACGTGACACACGGTTTGGAACAAGTTCTGAGGTGACTCAATGGTCGTGATATTGAAATAGCCACCTTGATTGTACGGGTTGGTCACTGTTATTTCCACATCTTTCAGTTCGTAACAGGGGGATGAAACCGATGTTACGGTCTGTAAAAACAATTCATAAAATTCTGAGTTCTATGGGAGAAATGTATTGAATGTAGCGTCCGTAAGTGGTATATGCTTCAAGTTGTTTGGTGGAATAAGTCAATGACAAGCTGCTCCGTGTATGTATTCCGTCAGTTAATCTTTCAGCACAGACAAGCTAATTGATTGCTACAAATTACCAAATCACCTGTAATTTATTAGAACCAACGAAACCGCGCAGTTAAATCATTACGGTAGAGTGACAATTCGCTCGAACCCTCACTGTTGCTCTCAGTCAAGTTTTTAATTTTACACTGAAGTACGTTCGTACTGTGTTTGATTTCTCTTCCGCTCAGAGTTCTGACTTCCTCCCATCCATATAGCTGGAACATCGCCATCAAGTGCTTGCAGGCCTCACATTCCCAGCCAGTCCCTCCCGAGTTAAAACACTACGCTAGAGTTTCGCTCTTGTTAAAGCTCGTCAACATTCTGTATCCCTGTCACCACTGAGATTTGAACTCAGGCTGAGTACTCATGAAGCACTTGTGTTAACCTCCGCGCTATCGAGGTACGTTAGGCGCGAGCATTCCCACCCGCAATCATGCTACTACTGGTCGTCCGACACTACGTTTTTCTGAACTGCTTGACTGATTTTACATTCTTTCTAAACCGTGCAACACAGATATCAACAGACATAGACATCCGTCGTTTCCCCAAATGTACGAGTTTTCTATGAATCTTACGAATCGTGTGTTCGTGACATAGATATTGTGGTTTTGTGTCTCCAGTCTGCTTTTCTTAGAAAGAGTCCAAACGAGAGGAAAGCTGCCTTAGTTCTTAAGCGTGTATGACAATAGAATCACACCTTCTATCTGTTTGAACCTTTTTTAAAGAACCGAATTTTATGAGTAGGTGAAATGAGATTGGACTGGGGCGGTTTTTTGGTTGGAGAAAGTTCGGCCAGTCGGAGCCACAGGACAGGTTGTTACAAACGGAGTTGTGGTCGTTTGACGCCAACCAATCAAGAACGACGATCAGCTGCTACATGGAATTTGTGTTTAAGAAGTGGTGATCAAAACAAGCTGTTTGAACACGTGCCAGATTTAAACAACCGAGTTGTGTAAGGCAAAGTCGTGGGAAGCAACTACGTACCGGTTAATCACAAGACAAAACACTTATCACCAAATAACAATCGTAAACTGTTGTCTTTCTATAAAAAGTGTTATTATCTAATAAACTGTTAATGCTTAGTGCTGCTCAGACCACTGTTCCTCGACCACCAGACACACTCATCTGAGATAGTTTAGAGAATTTTTTCCAGGTTATGGAATGTATGGTATGCGATGGTGATGGAGAAACTTAAGATGCTGCTGTCCAGAAATGGTGTGTGATTAGGGAACGAGAAACATCTAATCGCGCACTCTACGTGACAGTGTAGCGTTTACTGGTAGGGGGCTTGGCTAATACAAATTAAGCATCAAATAATGATCGCAGTTATCCAGTTCTCTTAATCTTTTCAGCTAGTCCCTTTCGAAAGGAAGCTCGTTACTCGAATTTCGTTCTTGTTAGCGTTAATCGGTAGTACTATACCTTTATGAAGCAGTTGTGACTTCACATAAGGCACGACTGAATTACCATATGATAAAAGCTTGGCCACACTTGCTTGTGAGTGATATTGTTAACTCCAGTCGATTACCTCGCGACTAAGAAGTCTCATCACGTTGAACTCAAAATATCATTTAAAACAGTTAGTTCCCTTGAAGACTTTAAACAAAGCATTTAGAATACAGAAGCTGGTAGATGCGAACATTCCGTGTTGACTCCTCAGTGCCAAATTTGTTATAAACTGGATGATCATTTACAGCAAACAGCTATGGAGAGTGGATAATCAATAAGCGGATTAGGATAGGTCATCAAGTCCAGAGAATGGCCTGCCGGTTTGACGGTGACGCGTGGCGAGTTCGGAATGTGCACGGCTGGGTGCATTTCTTCGCTTTGTGCCGAAAATTTTGGTGGTACCAACACCACCTTGATGGGCTGCGGGAGTTAGATCGTGCACGGCTTTTGGGTGGATGCCTCTTCAGCTCGTTGATTTGCATAGCCATATTATCCATACGATGGCACATCTTCTCATCAAAAGTTTCAGGCTATCATCAGTAGTTGAGACTGAAGGGACGACGTGGGAACAGCTTTGGTTGCGGCGCACACCGGTTGTGAAGGGAAAGTTTCCGACACCTTGTCCGCAAGGGCTGCCAATTTGTCAACTGTGCTGTCTTCATCCATGGCGGCCAAAATGTGCTGTACAGCAGATGGCAGTTTTTCCGCCCATAACTGTCTCAAGATTGCATCGTCAAGCTTCCGCGAGCCCAAAAGGCCTCTCATGTAACGTAACAGTTGGGATGGAGACCGATCGCCTAGCTCGACTGAATTAAACAAGTCATGCAAGAGTTTAGCCTCTGACTTTCCAGTCCGCTTTATGATGGCGTCTTTCAACAGGGTATAAGGGAGATCGGATGGGACTGATTCTAGCAGGTCTTCCACCTCCGCTGCGACGTCCGTGTAAGATATTTCAGTGGTGCGTAATCTGTGCACAACGGCGCAATGGTCACTAAGGTTGCCTTATGAAAATGCGATCGGGATTAGTTTCACAGTCGTTACAAAAATATACTATACGAAGTTTGTTGAATCGAGTTGCCACCGTTATGTTGTAAAGTGATTTTTTTTATATAAAATTGAACTAGACGTTATTGCGTTTTGATAACTGAATTCACGCTTAGACTAGCTGATCTTCGTAACTGTTTCGAATGAAATTGAATGGAACAAGCCACGCACCAGATTCGATGATGTTACATTCAGTAAGCCTCTTTAAAGATAATTCCCACTAACCGAATACGTTTATTATTCCCAGGTTTTTGCTTAACTTAACAATCTGCTTTCAATCTCCAGAATTTGATTTTGAGTTAGGCCCATACCTGTTCAAAATACAACTTTATATCACAGAAAAGTACACACACTTAGCAACCTTTAATAGGGTGATCGTTCTGGATTTCCTCTTAAAACAGACCACGATTTCTCCGACGAGCGGGAGCCATTCTGTTTGCTG